TTTATTCCACGACCACCCGGATGTTACGTGAACTACGGTTTAATGCTACGGCCGCGCATGCCATGAATTGCGCTGGATGTTGCACGGGGTGCCAGGCGGGGCCGCGCCATGGGACATAGCCGTGCAAACGGTTTTCCCCGTGGCGCTATGCGACAAGCACGCCCAATCCAATCACCTGATCAATCCAAAAGCATTTGTTCCCAAGGAACACAACGTGAGAACAGCCACGACCATTCTATTCGTCAACTGGCCGTGCGGATCAAACCGCATATCTTTGGTAGTGCGAGACCCAGCCCGAATAAGGGAAAATGAAGACGAGGAGAAGGAGGCAGGGGAAAAGGGCATTACACATGCTGCTGTGCAGCAAGCTTGGTGGCCGAAACTACGTGGCCGATCATCGGCGGGTCCCAACTCCCCGAAGTCTCCCCTTGAAGCGCAAGCCCAAGCAACGGAAAGTCGCAAGCCCATTTCTAAAGCCGAGGGCATTCGCGCGCTGGAAGATTACACCGCCGGTAGGACCTCAAAGGCAAATCTCCCAACGTAGTCGGGAAGTGAAGCCTCGCCGTTGCCCTTGTGAGCGCAGAGGCTCTATCCCCGTCTCCGCATCGCCCCTTTCGCGGAGGCTCTCGTTCCGCCCCCTGTTCTGCCTCCTCCTCACCCCCTCTGCCTCTTTCACCCCATCCAGCTCTTTCCCCGCCTTTCTAGCAAGGGCACGCATATCGGTGTTCATCGGCGCCGTTGTCGCTACGGCCAGCATGGGCGCGCTCTCCGACTGCCAGATCACGACGCCGCTGGGGCAACCCTGCGGGCCAAGCCTCAGGGACAACTCTGCGAGCTGCTTGGGGGCGGGAGCAAGCCGTTGGGACAACCGTGCAAATCGCGAATTCGTCGCGGCCGCTCTCAGGCCGAATGGCGCGCGAAACCCAGCGCTGCCGCGAGCTGCTCCGCCTCAGGCTCAGCCCTGGAACTCTCCGCTCTTTGTCGAACTCCCTGGGCGCCTTCCACAGGGAGACCGGCGGCCCGCGCTGCAGGAACTCTCGCGTGGGCGGCCACAGGACCAGCATGTTCCGCGTGCACGTGGCGCGGGGGAACATGGCGTAGACGTGCAGCCACCACTGCTCGTCCGACATGGCCATGTGACCAGCATCCTCATCCCTGGCGCCGTCGATGGTGCCGCCCTTGCGAAGCGTCTGCCCATATGGCAGCGTGGAGGTCAGGTAGGAGGGGTCCGTCAGGGTGAGCTCCAAGCGGCGCGCGACGTGCGGCCACGACCGCTGCCACGTGAACTCTTGCTCGTTGGGCTTGCACATGGGCAAACTCCTCGCCCGCGCCTCGGATTCACCGTCGTCGTCAGCGCTTTCGGCTTCCTGTAGCAAGTCTCTGGCCACTGCAGTGTTGCGAGACATGTTCTTCGCAGCCTGTCGGCATTTGCTGTCCGCCACCTGCACCTTTGAAGCTTCCGCTCAAAACTTCCTCGCGATTCTTTTACATTAGCGAACAGACCGCTTGGCTCCCGCCGGGAATCCGTTGTCATTCACTCACAGACGACACTCCTGCTTGAAACTTCCACCGTACTCAGTCTTGAAACCAACAACAACGACCATTACAAGCTTCCGATGATCCGCTCGGATCAATACTATGAGCTGCGGGCCCCAGAGCGAAGGGTTACCGCATGAGACTTCCTCGGAATTCACTCATCGACGATGCTCTGGCTCGGCACATTCTCCATGACCCGGCTTAATACAACCAAACATGAGGACGGTTACAAGGTTTCCCATGACCCGCTCGGCTTAACAACATGGACTGCGGGCCTTATGGGAACGGGACTATCGCCGAAGATTTCCACGCCATTCAATCACAGACGGATCTCCCGCTCGAGATTTCCTTTAAACTCCAGCTAAACAGGAAACCCACAGTGACGACTGTTACAAGGGTCCGATGGCCCGCTCGTGTTCGTAACATGAACTGCGAGCCCCATTGTGAGGGGGCTCCCGCCTAAGATTTCCTCACAATTCACTCACAGACGAGGCTCCCGCCTGAGACTTTCTCCATACTTCAACATGGACAAACCAAAAGTGATGGAAAACTCCAGTTCCCGATGCCCCGCTAGGAATAATAACATGAGCTGCGGGCCCCATAGGAGAGGGACTTTCGCCTGAGACTGCCGCGCAATTCACTCACACACGAGACTGCCGCTACAGACTTCCTGAACATGAATTTGTGAGTGCGTGAGTGCGTGCGAAAACGTGGTGTGGTGATGATGATGATTAGGAGGAGGAGGATGAGGATGATGATAATGATGATTGCGTGGTGATGGCGAATGTGAAAACACTATGTTGTGATGACCATGGTGACCGATGGCCATGATGGGATGATAGTGATGATGATGAGTGGTAACTAATGGTGTGATGATGACGACGATGATGATGTGGGGTGTACTTCTCGGACAATCGGGCCCGCTTCAGGCAAAACATCTCGAGCAAAACTGCCTGCTGAAGAGAAGCTGAGTCACAGCGTAAGAGGGACCTTCCTTGAGGGGGCCGTCCTCAATGATCGACGCAGTGGCAGCCGGCCTCCAAGACTCGAAGAGCCCAGAGAATAGCCATGAGCAGAAGCCCGCCAACCCTCTGGGCTTTAGACGTAGGTCATCAAACCGCCAACTACAAACTCCACCACAACATCAATGTTCCGTTCGAAATGAAGCTTATCCTTCCTCCTGTCTCCTCCCCGGGAATCTTGATGACCAATCTATCCCAAGATGGTCTCAGGAATGGTTCCATGAGGCAACGGGACGACCCTGAGCAGGCTCCCGACAGGCCGAGGTGAGGTCATTCAAACACAAACTCTAATATTATGATCTGAACAGGATTCGTTTCGCCTGATCGCCTTCCGATGTGCCTCTGGGACCGAATTATCGCTCCAAGACGGCCGACGAGGATCTTGGGAAGGCCAGTGGGGCCCCAAAGAGACTCGGAAGTTCCAGGCAGAAGCCGAAGAGAACCACGTTCATGTTAGGAATAAGGAGCGCTGTTTAATACTAACAGGCCGAGCCCAAAAGGCTTCCAAAAAGAGAAGGGCACCCCTCCCGACGATCCATGAGATCCCAAACTGGGCAAGTTTGAGATCCAGCGTGAGAGCTAGAGTTAAGCCGCCTGTGACGAAGACAAGCACAGCTCAGCTCAGCGGGGCCGAGCTCAACTAAGCAAAGCTATTTGGGTTAAGCTGAGCACACTTGCAAGCAGTAAAGCGAACCCACGCCAAGCCAAGCCAAGCCGAACCAGGCTAGGCATAGCCCAGCAACGCTAGGCTAAATCAAACTATCCTGACACACTTCTAGCAACGCACAGCCAACCTAGGCTCGCGTACGTGACATGATGGTGAGGTGCTCTGAACCCAGCCCATGAGAGACGAGGCCAAGCTAAACTATGCTGGGCCTCGCTGATAGAGAGTAGAGCAATGATGCTGATCTTACCGTACCCACGCTGTATTCACGGCCTGCTTGTGGCGATCCCTTCTGTCTTCGCTGTCTTCGCTTCCCTGATCTTCGCCCCAGTGTTATGAACGCCACCTGATCGGCTTGGAATCATTCCTGGAGCGGCTGGTGAGGATGCACGAGAAGCGACACATGTCGGCAGATCTGATCGCACGTGGGGCATGGCGACACCCAGGAAGATCCCTGCTCCTCCTTCACGCCCTCCCTCACTCTCCCACAACCCCTCTAATCTATCCGTCTGTGAACCCCTGGCAGGCTTCTTTTGAGCACGGACCGACCGTCCGGGTGTACTGTAGACCTGCCACGAAATGCTCATGGAACGACAATGTGCTCATGACGAAAGCCATGCTCTTAGGACACGCACCAACACCTCGAAACAAGCATGTACCAGCCAGAGATGCTCACAGCATCACTTCACACAAACAGTTATAGGTCCTCAGGACACATGCTCGTGGCCCTATGGCCAAGCCAAGGGGCTTCGCCACTGGTTTATCCCGACAAAACGACCACCACACACCAGGCCACCCATGCCACGAGACCAGTTTGGGCACGGCGCCGCCGCCGGCTCGGGAGAGCTCGGCCGCCTAGGGCCTGCGAGCGAGAGAAGCTGCGGCACGCCGGCCCCCCCCCCCCCCTCTGCGACACGCACGGCGGGGTGGCGCGAGGGGGGATTACGAGCGGCGAACACATCCTTGAGCAGGGACGGACCGTCCCAGCATTCCTATAAGCCTACCACGACATGTTCTTGAGAACCCAAAGACGTTCGAACAACAAAAACAATATTCTTAGAACATAAACCCGATGTGTTGGAACAAGACAGTCCCAACCAGAAATGTTCTAAGGACATATCGTTGAAACCACAAACGGTTATCATAACATTCTTTGGTAGGCCTATAGGGGAGCCAGGACGCCTCGCCACTGCTTGACATCCGTGTCCTTGCCCTCGCGGTCTGGATCCTGGGGCGCGATCCCGCGGATACGCGGTCCAACAGAACCGTTCCGCGCGGGGCAATTTCGCGAAAAAGCGCCACTGCTCCACGGGGTCGCGGCTCCAGGGTCCGGCCCGCCAGGCCGCGGATAACGATATGTTTTCCGCCCACACGGGGAGGGGGTGGCTTCTGAGAAGCCCTCAGCCTTTTTAGACGGCCGCCCCCCTCGCGCAGTCGCCGCACGGAGTGCTGCGGTGGCGCGGTGGCGGAACCTGCCGAAGGCGCCTGAGCATTCAAGGCCCAGTCTGAGACAGCGAGTTCCTGAGTCAGTACAGCAGTTAGGAACGAGGATGATGTCATGGTAGGATTCGCTCAGGATGTGTTCAAGGATTTCCAGAATATCTAACGGCCCTCGTTTCTGCAGCCCGTCTGGTCATTCAGAAACCTTTGAAATACATGAAATCTTGAAAATATTGGACAGCATCATTATTATGACCTCTTGCTCCTCTGACTGCGGATCACAACCTCGTTCTGAACGCCCATCTCCCTTGGCTTTCTTGGCGGGCGCAACGGAAGGCCTCGCTGGTATGCAGGGTCCTCGGCATGGGTATGCCCAAATAGTCGACGACCGTGTAGCACCTCCAGCTGCCAGCGGCGCATTCCCCGGACACGGCGCCCCAGAGCGCTGTGCACCTACTGGCTCGCCCTTCGGCAGCCCGTCTATCTGAACTATGAGGCCCGCTCCCCAAACTCTGAACCCGACAATGTTGGCATCGCTTGGCGGGGGCAAGTGTTGCATCTGCTGGCGGAGCCACTCCAGTGCTGCTTCCGCCCGGCCTCCAGGCAGTGTCGCCGAAGAAGAGATGCGAGTTGTTCTACCCAATGAGGTTGTGCCTAACAGGATCGCATTGGTTTTGAGAAAGAGCTGGACTACTGGGTGCGGGGTGTCAATTCAAAGGCGGTCCCAGCGGTGCCCGATTCCCTGGTCTTGGACCCCTTCAGGCGTTGGCAACGGTTCCCCGGTCTTGTTCTTTGGGGAGGAGGAGGGGGAGGAGGAGGAGGAGGAGGCGGAGGAGGAGGAGGAGGAGGAGGAGGAGGAGGTTCCCGGGTCCCTGGTCCCTCTTCAGTTTTCTCGTTGTGTTCCTTGCCTTCCTTTCTCGGGCTCCCTGGTCTAATCCCTCGGGTTACCCAGTCCTGCTCCTTGGGTTCATCAGTCCTTGCAATGCCGGGCAATGCCAATCACTGCCAAGCAAGGCCAAGCAATGCCCAGCACAGCAGAGCAACGCCAAGCAACCCGAAGCAACACCAAGCAACGCCAACACATGTCAAGAAATGCCAACCACTGCCCAGTAAAGAAGTGCCAAGCAATGCCTAGCGACGCAAGGCGATACAAAGCAATTCAAAGCAATGCAAAACAATGCCAAGACACCAAGCAATGCCACGCAATGCGCCTATGCAATGTGAATGTGTCCCCCTATTGCGGTCGGGCCAGACTCATCGATATACGAGAGAACGCGTTTCACGGGCGCTTGCCTGGGGAACATTCGGCGGCGCGTTTCGAACCGGGGGGTGGACCCCCCCCCCAACACTCGGCGCCGTCGACCAAAACCAAGGGGACTCCCTCCCCTCTCCCCCGAACCCCCCCCCCCTCCGGACCCCCCCCCCCCCCTCTCCCAAGGGGGGCGGGGGGGTTCAAACCCCCCTCCCCTCCCCCCCTCGGCACCGGCGCCGGCGCTGGCGGCCGCCAGCAGCGCCCACGGTGGGGACGCAGCGACGATGACCAGAGGCAGCCCAGGGGGGGGGGGGAAGGGTTCAACCCCCCCCCCATTCCTGGCGCCGGGGGGGAAGGGGGGTTCAACCCCCCCCCCGCCCCCTCGCGCCGGCGCTGGCGGCGGCCAGCAGCGCCGACGCTGGCGTCGGCGACGGCGGGGACGCAGCGACACTTACCACCACTACCACCACCACCGCCACTACCACCACCACCACCACCGCCTCAAACCTCCACGCGGCGTCCCATGTCAGCCCCGCCTGCTGCAGACACGGTCAGCAGAAGCCCTTGAAGACGTCTCACACTTGCATCCTTTCACTGGCAGGTTCAAGCCAGGCCCCCAGTTCCTGTCGTTGTCCGATCTACAGACCAAGAGGCATTGAGGCAAACGGAGCGCGCATGCGGTGTCGAGAACGCGTGAAACATTAGACATGTGACAACTCTCGACACCGACGTGTGCACGCAATATATCCGCCACAGTATCCCCCCAGCACGTGCAGGCCCGCTGGAGTGCCAAGTGCTGTCTGGTAGGGTGGTGTGTGGATCATCCCCCTCGCTGTCAGCCGCACGTATCCCCCCCCCCCGGAGGGTCCCTGGGCGACCCGACGCCTTCCTGGGGCTCTCCATGCTCTCCGCAGCTTCCGAGACGGCCCAGGAAGACCATCAAGGCCGCCCACGTGTCCCGATACAACCTACCTTCAAAGACACCAAGCGGCCCCAACCAGAGAGCCGGCCAAGAGGCCATCCCAGAAGGCCAAAGACATTCAAACACCCTTGGAGCCCACTTGGATTTTGAATATGTTGAATCTCCCAGGTCTCTCGGCTCAGGCTGGTTCGCGAAGGACCTAGGAGAAGCCGAAGAGAGGCCGAAATAGCCCAATGGGCGCACCAAAAGGGACTCCTCACACGGTACAGGACAACTCCAAGGAGGCGCCAAGACGGCCCAAGAAGGGCCCATGCACCAGGACACCACCAAAGAGCCGCAAGACGGCACAAAAGAGCCCCAAGATGACTCCCACATGGCCCCAGAGGCCCAAGGCAGCCCTAAGACGACGCAGGTAATGCCCATGAGGGGCCTCAAGGAGAGGAGACGAAAGGCGCCACATGTTACGGTCTTCTGGGTGGTGCTACAAGCGTCGCAACACAAAGTGTTGCGATGGCGCGATGGCGAAACTTGTTGCAGGCAAATGGCTATTCGGAGCGAGCTGCTGTTTATTCTGCAAGAGACAACATGTTGCAACTCACCCATAGCGTGCCGGGAAGTATCCCAAGATACCCCTCCGAAGATTCTGACAAGCAGCCCACGACTGCATTCCCGCGAATGGCCCAGAACCCTCGAATGAAAACTTCAGCGGACTTGTCTCGCGGATTTTCCTTGCGAACCCCTGGCAAAGCGCCAGCATCATCTCACAGGCGGCCTGCTTCACGCGTATCCGTTGCAGTCCGCGCGCTTTCCCCGAGCGGCCCTTCTCTTTTACAAACGGCGCACCCAGATCACGCACGATTCGAGACAGGCTTGCTGTCTGCCGACTTGCCCGAACGTGAGCCTGAGCTACAGCTGCTTGAGAGTCGAGTCGGAGCCTGCTGGGCGTTGGACCCCGTATGCCCAGCCGCGCCCCCCCCAGGAACCAGGAAGGGACTCGATCTTCCCGCGCTCAATGATTACAGGCTCCAGAACCCTCCCCTAACTCTTCTCCTTTGTGCGCATTTCCCTCTCTCTCCATTCACTTCCTCCTCATTCCCCCCACACTCTCCGCCATCCTCCCGCCCGTCCCCCTGCACACACCTCCTATGCCCCTCCGCCTCCTCCCCATTCTTCTTACCGTTGCCCTCCGTCTTATTCATCTGATTACCGATCCAGCTCTGGTAATACTCGTACGATCCTGCTCCCACTCCATCACTCCTCCCCCTCGGATCCTCAACATCCTCCTCCTTACCCACCCTCCTACCTCCTCCTCCTCCTCCTCCTCCTCCTCCTCCTCCTCCTCCTCCTCCTCCTCCCCATCCTCCTCCTCCCCATCCTCCTCCTCTTTCTCCTCTTCGTCCTCCCCTCCTCGCCGTCATCGTCATCAACATCATCACCACCACCATCACCACCACCGCCACCACCACCACCGTCGCCACCACCATCACCATCACCATCACCATGACCATCACCAACACCAGCGTCATCAGTCATTCCTCCACCTCCTCCACCCCTTGAAGGGGGTGGAAGATGAGGAGGAGGAGGAGGAGGTGGATGACGACACCCTGGTCGCAAGCTCGGAGGCGCAGCCCTACCAAATAACGGACAGAACTGTGCGAGAATGGGGGCATGGTGGGCATGTTCTCCACCACCACCACCACCATAAGTAGGAGGGGTAGGGGGTCCTCCTCCTCCTCCTCCTCTTCTTCCTCCTACTCATCCTCCACCTCCTTCTCACCACCAACTTATGGTGGTGGTGGTGGTGGAAAACAGGCCCCTCAGAGCAAGTATCGACACGTCACGATGAGCTCATGCCAGCCCTGGCCGAAGAAGCCACCGAGCGGGAGGCCCTGCCGCCCACCAACGCAGCGGATGTTTGGAGCGGCTGGCATGCAGCCCCCTTGGGGCGCAGGCATAGGTCAGCTCGAGTGTGCTCCGTCCCTCGTGTGTGTGTGTGGCAGAGGCCTCAACTCGGTGCCGCTGTTGTTCTCGAAGTGCGAACAGCTCCTGACGTGGCCCTCCTCCAGGATCCTCTCCCAGCTTGCGAGACTTCTCAAGGCCTCAAGGGTTGATGGGCCCATTCTCCACCACCACTACCATAGGTATGGGGAGGGAGGAGGAGGAGGACGAGGAGGAGGAGGAGAAGGAATTGGATGAGGAGGGGGAAGAGGAGGAGGACCTCCTCATCCTCCCTTCTCCCCCGTCTACATATGGTAGCGGCGGTGGACAGTTGCACATCAAGGGTTATAGGCTGAACGCACGTCTCACTACTCTGATCCGAGGTTGGGGAAGAGCTGGGCGCCCGCTCGCAGCGCTCTGGAAGGACTCCTATCGGTTGGAATAGTTTGGGGGACGGGGGCAAGCAAGCCATCCAGTGACAATGCTTTCTCGCGGAACCTTGTTGCTGAAGTCGCGCACGGATTGCAAGAGGATAGCGTGACAATGTCTATCGATATGTTGAAATGCGATAGCTTGACAAATTGCAGGGCCCCCTGACGGAAGCGGGGGTTTAGTCCGCCTCACCTGGATGGCCATTCAGAGCTATGCACCGCCCCGTGCGTTACGTGAGTTCAATTCCGTCTCCATCCCCGTCGCCCCCTCCCAGGGGATCATTACGGGGTGCTCGCTGGCCACATCCATGCTCATGGTTCTGTTGTACCGCAACCTGGCCAGGTCGCTCGAGCTGCTCCCAAGCGTGACCCCACGTGATCTGATCGATGCTGTTAAATTCTATTGGTCTGGGAGGGGAAGGGCGGCGGCGGGCTATCGGGATGGACCTGGCATGATCGCGCAAGCTGTCCAAAGCTGTTGTGGGAGGATCAAGCCGCTAGGATTAGAAATGCACATGTCGAATAGCGGGCATGGTGCTAGCACTGCTGCTACCAGGGATCGTTTCATCAGGGCTCTGGGCCCATCAGGTCTCAAAGGAAAACGATGCATACGACACCTCGGCCATGAGATACACGGCTCGCGTGTCATGCGTGTCCAAGAAAAATCAGGTTGCGGGCGCTGCAGGCCAAGCTGCGTAAGGTTTGGGACCTCCGCCATGTTGTCGCCGAGGCTGTGAAGGCCATCTGGCGGACGGGTCTCTTCCCAGCTGCGGGCCACGGGGCTGGGGTGAGCGGTTTGTCGGACGCGGCTCTTCGAGAGCTTCGCACACTCGCTGGGGGAATGGCGGGGGCGAGGCCTAAGACGCGTTTACCTTTGTAGCTAGCGGCCCAGAAAGACGACCGACACGACTATACCTTCGATGCTTGGGTTCCGTCAGTGGTTCGTCATGCCCCCTTTGCTTGGGAAGGCAGGGTCGTGCCGAGTCGCCTCTTTCGCGCGTGGGCATGTGTCGAGCGGCGCGTTGACAACAAACTCGCGTGGACAAGTTAGCGTGGCTAACCCTCCTCCGCATCAGCTGGACAATTGCGAGTGTCACGGCCCATGTCAGTGATCAAGGCAGCAAGCTTGACTTAATTAGAACGTGTCCCGCTGACATCCGCGTGCGTGTTGAGGAAATTGTTAGACGTTGGCAGTGCTCCCGGATCTCTGCACACCTTCCAGACAGCGCTGGTCAGACCATCTGGAGACGTGCCATGTGTAAGACCATGCTGCCAATTAGGGACCCAGGTAGGCGAGGGGCCCTCAGGTCGTTGTGGGCCGCTGGAGTGTGGACCCCTGCCAGGCTCCACACCATCCAACGCAGGCCCTCCGCGCCCTGCTTCGGTTGTAAATCTGATGGGGGAATCGAGTCCCATCAGTGGTTCGGTTGCGCTGTCATCCTAGAGTGTGAGCCAGAGGATGATCCGCCCAATGATGCACTCGAACGTCGCGCCCAGATGAGGGATAACTACAGCACGATCCATGGGCATGACTGTTTTTACCTACGCTACGGGCTGCCACCCACGCCGCCAGTTCCAGAGGCTGTGGCCGACTCGCTCCCAGTGTACGGTTGAGGGGAATGGCGTGGGACGTGGGGAAGACGTGTGTTTACCGACGGGTCTGGCCTGGACAATTCGCTTTCAAGCCTCACTCGATGCGGATGGGCTGCGGTCGAGCTCGACCCGTCAGGCGTCGTTGTGAGAGCCATCTACGCCCCCCGTCCTTGGAGCCCTCTAGACACTGCTCCGCTCAGAGCACCGCGCTGCTTTGAAGGCTCTCCAGGAAGCTCAGCACCCCGTCGCCATCTGTGATCATCCGAATGTGGTTCGGGTGGGGCAGCTCTCGAGTCCAGCGTGCAATGGCGCCAGTTCTAGGCATGCAGCTGCGTGGGGGCAGACCAGGAACATGTATCGAGATGAGCCTGGGCCTGAGTTTGTTTGGACCCCCGCCCATCGCTCGCTCGAGGATGTGTTGCTGCTGCCCCCTCGTGACCCGTCTTGCTCGACCGATTCGATCCTCGATATCATCGGAAACGACTGAGCATACTATTTTGCGAACCTGGCAGCAACAATGCATGAGGATTACAGCCGCGAGATCCGCAATGCTGCGCAAAGTCGTGGGTTGTGGGAAGCAGCTCGGAGAAGACTGGGAAGACGCCAGCAGACGCTGTAAACATCGATTTCGAAGCGCGGTTTCTCAGCATAGTGTTTCTGACTGGTTGCAAATGATTGACACAATGCAGTGGCGGCTCGTTCACGAAGCTTTTCGAGACGATTTGTCTTGGCGGAAGACAGTCATGGCATGGACTCCTCTCTTTGGCAAGCGATCCCGGGGACGCCCGAAGATCAGGTGGACAGACAACATCAACAGGTATTCGAATATTAAGCATGGTACGTCGCTATCAGTAGTATTACATGGCACTCGGTTCTTGAATAGGGCAAATCTCGAAGATGGCAACGTGAACTTCATGGTTTCATTGTAGCTTGCCGGCAAGTCTGTTTTTTGGAGGGGCGTGCTCCTTTGCGCGATGTTCCTATGCCGCCTCCACTTGCGGGGCGCGCGCGGCCCCCGCGCGCGATCGGGCCTTGCTTGCTTCGGAGCCAGAGACCACGCCGCTCACCTGCCTCTGACTGAACTACACAAGGTCCAGAGACCAACGCCGCCGAGGGCAGCCCTGGCTAGGGCGGCTGGGAGGGTGCCGAACTCCAGGGCATGGTGCAGCACATGCCTTGGCATGTCTCTGAGCTCCACGGAATCCTCCCTAAGGCCACCCTGTGCGAGGAGGACGCGTGGCCCCCGGAACGCGTCGCCGCCTCGGCGTCGGTGAAGGTTGCGGGCGTGCCGAAGCGAGGCTCGGACGACGCCCGGCCCGTGGCGGTGGCCCCTGTGCGGCTGAGGTCGTGGCACTCCGCACTCCTGCCCAGCCTGCCCCCCCTCCTCCCGAGGCGTTCAGCGAACGGGGCGCCGTCTGGCCCACCGCAGACTGGGCGGCCGCGCCGGGGCGGTGTGGGGCGGAAATCGCCCTCACTAAGGCGTGCGACTCGGCGTCGCACCTGGTGGCCACCGAGGCGCTACTTCACTGAGGCGCCCCGCCTCAGGTGGTGCGCTGGCTCAGGCACACGTGGGCCGCTCCCCGCATCTGCTGCGTCTCCGGGTTCACGGCCCCGGCCCTCCACCCCGCTGCTGGCATCCCTGCTGGGTGCCACTGCTCGGGCCGGGTCCTGGGGGCCGTTTTCCTTCCCTGGCACTGGCGCTATGCTGTGCGTGCCCGTCCTGAAGCCGGGTCCTGGTCCTACGTTGACGACAGGAGCATCAAGTGCGCCCACGCTGGCGCCCGCGCCGCGGCCCTTGAGGTCACGACTACCCTCGACGGCCGCCTCGGGCTCACCGAGCACACTGGCAAGCGGCAGCTCTGGGAGGACGACGAAGACGCGGAACACCTGGGCATCCGGGCGTGCTCTGGGAGCCTCGCTTCCCCTCCCGTCCCGGGCCCTCGCGACGGCTGGGGGGTCATCGAGGACTGCACTCGCAAGCTGTTGCGCATCCCTGGGAGCACAGGCATCCGCGCCCTCACCGCGGTCATGTCTGCAGATGTGGCTTCGAAGTACCGGTGGGCCGCCCCCTTAGTGGAGTGCCCCCCCGCCTCTCTTGTCACTTGTCAAGCTCACCTTCTGGCGTGTCGCCCGCACCCGCTGCACCTGGTGGGACCAGCGGCGCTGGCGGGCCGAGCGCCTCGAACTCCAGCCCGTCTTCGGCACCTCCCTCCAGGCTCTCCGCCAGGCCGCCCGCTTCCCTTGGTGGCCCCTCTGGCGGTCGTGCGTGGCCCACCACGCGGCCACTTTCGGGCTGGCCTCCCACCCCGAGTCGCCCGGGCTACTGCCCGTCTGGGTCCGCGCTGGGTCCGCTCTCGACCCCCGGGCGGCGGCCGCCGTGGCCGGGGCCGTGGCCTCCTCTGGCCTCCCGTCCTACTTCGACGCCTCGTCGCCCAGCGGGCAGCACGTCCTCCGGGTCTACGCCCGTGCCCAGCTACTTCAGGTGCGCCCCCACAGGCCCCGCCACGACGAGGAGGGCATGGCGGACATAGACATCGAGGCGTCCCCTAAGGCCCCGTGGAGCCAGTGGCGCGAGAGCCTCAGCAAGGACGAGCTTAGTTTGCTGTCGGTCTGGCGCGGCGGCGCCGCTCGGATCCCCACTCGACGGGCCCACGCTGAGGCCCCCTGCCCGTTCTGCGAGCACCCCGCCGCGTCCGCCCGGCACTTCTGGGCCGAGTGCCCCCGCTTTCGGCCCGATCGCCTCGCCCTCGGGCGAGCCTACGGGGTCGATGAGGCCTGGTGGGCTACCCAGCCCAGGGTCACAGCTAAGACGGGCTGGGTCACCACGACCGCCGGCCCCACTAGTAAGGACCGGTCCCGGCTGCAGGTCATGTCGTGCAAGCTCGGAATCCGCATCCTGGAGGCCCTGCCCCGGGTTTCGGGCTCGGCTCCGGCCCCTGGAGTGCCGGCGGCTCGGCGGCCGGCTGCTGCTGGCCCAGGCAGCGCTCCGCCCTCGGAGCGGCGGTCCGCTCCTCCTCCTCCTCCCCCTCCTCCTCCTCCTCCTCCTCCTCCTCCTCCTCCTCCTCCTCCTCCTCCTCCTCCTCCTGGACTCCACTCAGGTGGAGGCCTCGACCAGGGACGTCGTGACTGCTCCGGCCCCGCGCTGGCAGGCGGCTAGACGGCCGGTGGCTGCCGACCGATAACAGCGCTCCGCCGTCGAAGCGGCGACCGGCGCCACCTCCTCCTAGGAGGGGCGAGCTCGCCCCCCCTGACCCGGCTCAGGTGGAAGCGGTGGCGGGGGCCGACGGCGAGGCTTCAGACGGCCACCTTGACGACCAAGACCCCGACGACGATCACCCCCCGCCCCTTCCCCCGGTTGGTGGTGCGGTGGTGTGTGGTGCGGCACCTTGTACGCTGCAGAGCCGAACGCGGGACTTGTCTCCCCGCCGGACTCGGAAGCGAGCTGGTTAGGTTGAGTCGGTGATTATCTTTGCTTATTGTGTTTTTTCACCACTTCTTCTGCCTCCGGCCGGGTGTGGCCTTAGGCGACGTCTGGCCCGCACCTTCTACACCTCCAACTACTTTCTCGGCCTTCGGCCGAGGGCGTCAACGGCATCGGCGCCGTGCCGCCATCAACAGCAACAAGGTGCAGCTGCGAGATCTCTGGCTTGAGAGAGGAGTTGTTGTTAGTGGATGGTGCAGGCCGTGGCGAGGAAGGCGGAGTTGTTGCAGTATTGGTCCGAAACCACTCGGACGTTCAAGGCTGCGCCCGTCCCCGAACTCTCCCTCCCACCACACCCGTTCTTGCACTGCGTGTCTGCACGAGCACAGGTGCACGGTGTGCGGCAAGTACGCGCGCACGTCTAAATCTTCCCGCGAGCCGACGCATCTGATGCAAGGCGACGGCTGACCGTTTATTCCGACTCTCGCCCGAGACCGGGGTCTCGGCAGCACTGCCAGCTGCGGCGGCCGCCCTCGCGGCCCCAGCTCTCCTGGAGGAGGAGGCTACCCCTGCTGCTAAAGACCCGACCAAGGAACATCCACTCGACTCGATCGCACTATACGACGGATGGTGGCCAGCTCACTGATCCTCCCTCTCCCTGGTGGCGCTCGACGCGGTCTCGGCCAGCGCGCGGATCGTCGCCGCGCCGATCTCAGCGCGCCACCGCTGCAGACAGCGCGCCGGAGGGCCGCCGCCGCGCGAGGACCGCTGCAGTGCCAGCTTCTCGAGGACTGCGAGGGCGTGGGGGCCAAAGCGGCCCCAAGCCTCCAAGCCAACGGGGGAGACTGCAACTCCTCCCCGGCCCTCGCCATACCTCTTGAATTTGGCCTTCTCCGCGGTCAGCGCGCCGTGGGCGTCCTCCTGGGCTGCCTGGCGCCGCCGCTCCAGCCTGAACGGGTTCGTGACGGTGGCGTCCACCCAGTCCTCATGCAGCTCGGGCCCGTGCCCCCACAGGTGGACGTCGAGACGGGCCTCCACCGCATCCTCGGCCCCTGGCTCGCCCTGCAAGAGCGGCGGGCAGACTTCCTCCGTCTCCGCCTCCACGCCGCTCTGCATCGCGAAGCGCCGGAGGCAGGCGGCGACAGCATTGTGCACTCTGTAGCGGCCCCTGCCGACGCCGCAGAGCTGCGCATGGTCGCCGAGGCGGTCGCACGGCTTGCCACACATCGTAGCCTCCTCTCGCTTCTGGCTGGGCTTGTGCTGGCATGCGGTCTCACGCATGACCGGCAAGCCCAGGCGCCATCGCACAGTGGCGCAAATGCGCTGCAGCTTTGCTCTTGAGGCGCTCGCTCTCGGCAGGGTCGCGCCTGGCAGCGTTGGCACCCTCGCGCTGGCTGGCCTGCTCTGCCGCCGAGTGTCTGGCAAGCATGTCCGCCCTTTGCGCCTCCTGCGCCACCTTGGACACCGTGCTGTACAGCCCCCGGATCGGGTCAAAACGCGCCCTCAGGTTCCATCGAGGCTCGGACTCCCGGGCAATGGTACCCGAAACGCTCAATTCGATGCCGTGCGTTTCCTTCAGCCAGTCCAGCATGCGCTCGGCACCGTCGAGCGGGATTGCGTTCAGGATGTCCTCCTCCGCGGCGTCTGGCAGCAGCGCTCGCAGGTGCTGCCTCGCAACCGGCAGGCATTGTCCGAGCGCCGCTAGTCGCCCCAGCCTCGCCCCCAGCGTCGCTGACCCAAAGCCCATGCCGCCGAGCACCGACGGCCAGTGCAGCTGCATGGACGTGTCGTTTGTCCACCCGTCGTCGGCTTGCACTCCCAAGAGCGCCCGGGCAGAGTCGTTGATGACGGCGTCCAGCTCTTCCGCCAATGGCAGGCTGACCTCGGGCTCCAGGGTGCGGACGTCGTACACGAGGGCCTTCGACGCCACCCGGTGGAGGACATGCCACGCTGCCTGCCAAGACGCCTCCTCGCGGCCTTCCCCTCTGAAGCGAGCGCACTCCTTGGCCAAGTGCCGCGCCGAGGCAAGTCGTCGTAACGCCGGCTGCGCTGCCACCGAGTACACGCCGAGCTCGGTCTCGAACTCCCCACCGAATGCGCTGCCCAAAGCAGGCAGACCGCCTTCCACCTGCTTCAGCTTGGTGATGGCTGGGTCCGTCCCGAGCCCGTTCACGCTCCGCTCCGGGATGTACGCCGCGCTCTTGTCCAAATTGAGCTTGAGGCTGATGCGTGCCAACTCGTCCTCCAGGATCGCGAGCGCCTCGTCGACGTGCGCCGGCTCCGTAACCAGCAGCATGTCGTCAACCAGGCTGGGGATGTGGACCCAGGAGGAGAAATCGGTCCCTGGGGAATGGGTCGAGACCCCCTGGGGGTCGGCGTCATGACAGAAACAGGACGTCGGGGTGTAGGTTCCCCCCTCGCACGAGAACGGGAGCTATGCACTCCACAACGTGTGGACTCCCCCTGCAGGCGACGCTCCAACGCAGTATACGGTGCATGGTGCTATTTCGACCCTGAGGGCCGAAACAACGATGCACCGTACCATTCCAGGGTCGAGGGTTCACGACGCCTTGGGAGACGCCACTGCGGTACGTTGCAAACAGCTCGTCCGCGGACCTTCCGCTCTGTTTTTCCCCGCAGCATACGCGTTTCCTCGACCGCGTCGTTCGAGCGGCCCCCTAGCTGCGGAGCGGCCCGTCGAGGGCCGATCAATGCGTGGTGAAATGATTACCCCTTCCCTTGTCCAGGCTTGAGCCCCACGACCGCTCAGAAGACTTCGTCGAGCTCGAGGCCCCCGCTGCTGAACGGCAACAGCTCAATGGCATCGGAAGCGCTTCGAGTCCCAAGGGTGACCGCTGCGCCGCGCGGCGAGCTCCGAGCCGCGCCGAGAGCCGCCGCGCGCGCCGAGCCGCGCCCCGCGGGGGAGCGCCCTGCCGTGGGCCGTGCCTCGCCCCGCGGCGCCCTCGCCCCGGCGGCCCCTGCCTCCCCCTCGAACGGGAACGGGGCCCACGCACTGGTTGTTCCCCTGCAGGCGCCGCTCCACAACGCGGTGCGGTGCGCAGTTGTCTCGGACCCCCGAGAGTCGGGACACCGACGGCGCGTAGGATTGCCTCAACTCGTAGAGTCGAAGCAGCGAGGCACCGTACCGTGCCCGGGTCGAGGGTCGACGACGCCGCGGGCGACGCCACCGCGGCACGGGGCAGACAGGCTCGTCCGCGGGCCCCCGCGCCCGCTGTGCCTCCGCACGGCAGGCGCACCGTTCTCGGAGGCGCCGCGCACCGGAAACACAACTCCCGCCTGCCCGGGGCGTGGAGCCCGGTACAGCTCACGGGCGGGCCCGGCTTCCGCCCCGCCCAGTCCCCAGCCTTCCGCAGCAGCTTCCGCCGGCGGGCCCAGACAGGCCCCGAGGCTTCTGATGCTCCAGCCCACTTCAGCCTTGAGCACCAGGAAGAACTTCGAGCGCCGAAGGAAAAGTGCCGAACCTCGAGGGTTTTCGCGTGTCGGGCACACTGTTTCGACACTCTTTCGACACCTGTCCAGGTGCTCGGAATTATTTCTGGGATGTGGTCCTTAAGTAGGATGGGGACAACATAACCCGAGGCGCGTGCCTGAGTGGGGAAGTGGGTCCCCCGCAGCAGCCTCGCGGGGCAGATGCTGCGCGATGTCTGCTCGGTGTCGTAGCGGCTTCTGGTCTAGGCCACGCAGAGGGGATGCGGCGCCAGAGCTCCAAGCGCCACGGTGCCAACGTGTTGGCCCACACCAGCCAGTCCCAACCGAAGGATTTGGAATCTCCCCCGAAGCATGGCCGAAACCGAACAGTAGGGTGACTGGAGACAGAGCCCCCCATAGACTACCTCCTTCATGGCCGCTGGCGTGAAGAACGGATCTATGGACACCACTCCTTCCTCTCCCAGACCGCCGACGTCATGAGTTGTTCATAAGGCCGATCCCTAAAGGTCTCGACCACCTCCCCGGGACCGGCGTCCCATCCGGAGTCATTGTTTGACGGTCCCGAGGCCTGGTGCGGGGCCCCCCGTAAGCTGAAAGTAAGGGAAAGCCTCCCGTCGTGATATGTCATGGCTCGAGGCGATCGGGGTCTCCACGGTGCCAGCAAGTGCCCGATGTAGCCCGCCGTCGGCGAGCTACTGGATTCTGACCTGCGGATGGCTGCAGAATCTCAAATGTTTTGCTCCAGGGGCCGCACCGACAATCAGAGATTGGCTCAAATACCCTTCCAGCCGATGGCAAGCTTGATGGCTCTCCCTTCACCTCCTTCGGAAGGATGTGAAGGGAGGGAGGAAAGGGGGCCTCGGAAAGAAAGGAGGGAGGAGGGAGGAAGGAGTCCTTCCTCCTTCCGCCCGCCTTTTTTCCCAGGCCCCTGAGCACACGTGTGCTGGGCGAACAGGCTCGACTGGGGGGGATCGGGAAGCGCGGACGCGCTCTCTCTCTCTCTCTCTCTCTCTCTCTCTCTCTCTCTATGACGAGAACATCGGCCAGAAATGTTGTGCAACGTAAGAAACGATGTCGTCCTCCCTCCTCCCTCCTCCACCCTCCTCCACAGATCCCCGACGTCATGATTTTGTTCGTGTCACGCCGACCCCCCGAGGTCTCGACCCATTCCCTAGGACCAGCTTGATGCTATCCCCATCGTACTTAAGGACCACATCCCGGAAATAATCTCGAGCACCTGGAAAAGTGTCGACAGTGTCGACACAATGTCGAAACAGTGTCGGAAGAATGTCTGCCAGGGCCCGACATGTGAAAACCCTCGAGTTTCGGTACTTTTTTGGTACTCGAAATTCTTTCTGGCGGTCAAGGCTAAAGTAGGTTGGAACATCGTAAGACCAGCTTCTCATCCGGAGTGTCTTTGGTACGGGCGCGAGGCCCGGCGAGGGCCCACCCCGAGGCCGAAGATAGCGAAACAAACCTCCCGCCGTGACTACTTCACGACCTGGAGGGGGTCTGGACTCCCCCCTCCTCCCTCCACCCCTCCCTTCACCCCTCCCTCCACACCTCCTTCCCCCGATCCCCCCTCTTTGGTGGCACCTCATGGCTCCTGCGAATCGGCGCTCGTCGACGCCACATCGACGTTCATCGACGCTAGCCGACGCTAAATCGGCGCTATCTCGTCCCTCCACCCCTCCCTCCACACCTCCTTCCCTCGATCCCCCTCTTTGGTGGCACCTCATGGCTCCTGCGAATCGGCGCTCGTCCACGCCACATCGACGCTCATCGACGCTAGCCGACGCCGAATCGGCGCTCTCTCGTCGACCCTCAGGCGCCAGTCGACGCTAACGATGGAATTCAGAGGGTGCACCAGGCCCCGTGATTTGCCGCCGAATCCCTCTCTCTGTCGTGCTTAAAACGACGCGAGGATCGGGACAAAATCGGATCGGGATAACTCGAAGTCTCTGAGAATCGGCGGGTTTGGAGGATGTATTGGGCGCCGCGGCCGCTCCAGAGCGTTCCGGAACGCTCTGAGAGGGCTCCGGAACGCTCTGGAGCGATTTATCCAGATCCCAGCCCTGTTTTAGTGCTCGCGCTCCGGGCGGCCGGTCGAGGCGCCGCGAGCGCTCCCGGAGCTGCTTGTTCTGCAGCTCGTCGATGGCGCGGTCCAGCTCGGTCCAGGAGGCCCCCGGGTTGCCGCCCTCCGCCTGCCGGGCACACGCTGGCATGGACCACGGCTCCCCAGGAGCTGGCGCGTGGGCGCCAGGTCTACGGATCGGAGAGGGGGGTCCCCAAAACTATGGAGCCGATGCCGCCCGATCTGGTAACGAGGCGCGCAGGGAACAGGACCCGTCGCCACACGGTCCACGCGCCGGAGTCCGTGCGCTGGCTTCCCTGAGCCTGCGGAGGGCGGGGGGGGAAACGATGTTCGCCCCCCCGTAGGGAAAGGGAGGAAGGGGGAGGAGGAGGAGGAGGAGGAGGAGGAGGAGGAGGAGGAGGAGGAGGAGGAGGAGGAGGAGGAGGAGGAGGAGGAGGAGGAGGAGAACGAGGAGGAGGAGGAGGAGGAGGAGGAGGAGGAGGAGGAAGAGGAGGAGGAGGAGGAGGAGGAGGAGGAGGAGGAGGAGGAGAGGGAGGACGAGGAGGAGGAGGAGGAGGAGGATTTTTTTAACATAAACCGTCCCCTGGAGAGTGCCAGGACATATCGGAGCCACCTTTGTGGCACCGCTGAAAAACCTGGGCGGTGGCTGACGCGGGGACGACTACCCCCAGGAGCCAAAAACGACAAATCAGTCCGAGTCCGAGGAAACGCCTGACCTGTCTCGGGCAGCTTGCAAAAGCGGAGCCTCGTCGTCCTCCGTACGGAGAGGAGGAGGAGGAGGAGGAGGAGGAGGAGGAGGAGGAGGAGGAGGAGGAGGAGGAGGAGGAGGAGGAGGAGGAGGAGGAGGAGGAGGAGGGGGAGGAGGGGGAGGAGGAGGAGGAGGAGGAGGAGGAGGAGGAGGAGGAGGAGGAGGAGGAGGAGGAGGGGGAGGAGGGGGAGGAGGGAAAGAGAGGAGGGGGGGGAGGGCCTCCCTGCCCTGCCCAGCCATTCTGCCTTGGGGGCGAGCGGGGCGCGGGGAAGGACCCCCCGAGAGGCCCCAGCACACCCCCAAGACCGCCTCCGCGGTGCTTTCGAGAGACCTCACACGAGATCACCACAACCATCCAAGAGGCATCTGACCTACAGCCCAGGCGCGACGGCGGGGTGGGCCGCAGGCCACACGTGAGCATTGGTGTGTATATATGGATATACGTGTGTATATATATATATATATATGCGAATGCTTATACAAACATGTGTATACCAACTTACAAGCATACATCCGCTGTGCAAGAAACTACTAATATATATGTTTTATATATATATATATGCACTAGAGCCGCGCGCACATGTAGATTCTAGCGCAGCCCAAGCCGACCTCACAAGATCGGTTTGGGAAGTACGTCATCCCGCGAGGATCTCCAATATGGCATCGTACTTCCTGATGAACGCCTCAGGAGCCTGTGAATGCTGGATCGGCAGGCCCCAAGACACCCCGCTGCACTGAGCAGAAACACCGAGCAGCTGCCCGACACGGGAGCTTCGGGGAAGCTTCTGGACGCTCGTGGCCTGGAGAGCCCCTCGGATTACATGTCGCCACATACATCTATATACGCACTGATACTCGCTCACAGGGCACGCATCGCATTGTACTTTCTCGCGGTGCGGGGGTTCTGCTCACGCGAGCCTGAGTCAAGTTGCACACGCGCGTGTTGACTGGTTCGGGTCAAGCATGCAAGCTCCGTTGCGGCCACCGTCTCCTTCTCGTCTTCCCCTCGCGTGACCCGGCCGTGTGGGGCCCGGAGCGTCCTGGCCTCTCCCCATGGGGGCCCGACCAGGGAGGAGGGGGGTGGCGCAGCGTCGGGGCCCTGCCTGCGTGGGGGTCTGCGTGGGCGCGGGGCGCGCAACCGCGGGTGCAGGTGCTGGTCCTGGCCTGCGCAGCGAGACGCGCTGCATGAGAGAACGGCTGCCGCGATGGGCGTCTGCACTGATCTGTCGCTGTGTCTGCATAAAGACTCCACGCCATCGATGGGCGGCTGTCTTTCGGCGGCGAGCCCACGGGGGAATGAAGAGAGGGCGGGCATTCTCAGAGGGCAAGAAAGGCCTCGGGCCTTCCGAGAAGTCCTACCAGCCCTCTGGGCGTAGGCGGTCTAGGGAGGTTCATCTTCCAACCCCCTTCTTCACCTTCGGGGAGGGGTTTATCACTGTTCCCTATTGAAAAAACACCGCCTCCTCCAGGCGACCGGCAGCCAACCAGGAACCATGCTCACCCCCCACTCCTGCCAAACAACAATCCAAAACGCACTCTGCTTCCACATTTGGAGCATGCGCGGCCACCCCGATGCGCGCGCCCCCCCCACACACAATATCCCTGTCAAAAAACCATGCAAAATATACTTTGGGACAAAATCTTGAGTCATTTTCGTGAGACCCGCGAGCACTTTCTATTGTTTTTGGCAGGGACGGCGGAGGTGTCAGCATATTGCCCGCTGTGCGCAGGGCGACCATTCCTAACACCAAAATATAACATGCACCTCGCGGCTAAATCTGGATCATGCGCGGCCACCCCGCGACCACTGTCAAGTGGTTTTGAAAGGGACGGCGGGGGTGGTGGCGTGTGGCCTGCCGTGCGCAGGCCCACCAGACACAATGATGGGCATTGGTTTTCGACAAGGATGGTGGGACGACATTTCTCCGGGTGTGTGCTGTCACGTGCGCAGGCGCACCTGACAAACTCTGCACGTGCCACGAACGTGGCGCACCTGGCGCGGCTGGAGTATGCGGCACATCTGGCGCACGCGGCGCACGTGGCGCATCTGGCGCACCAGGCGTGCCTGGCACGCTCGGGTGCGTGGCGCGCCTGGCACGCGTGGCGCACCTCGCCCCAGCGTCGCGCACATGGGGTCGGCTTTGGTTCCTGGTAGCTGCCCATCCAAAAACAACCGCTGAACATGCTCAGGCTCGGGTGTTACTTATGTGTTGGGAGGGCGGATGGGAGTGAGCTAGACGGCTTGCTATCTAGGGGGTGTCGTGACCCCTCCCCCAGCCCCAGCCCCCGGACCTGGACAGGGGGGGGCGGCGAGGCGTTGGAGCGTCCAAGATGGCCCAAGGCTACAAGAGGGCCCCTCAGTTTCAAAGATGAGCTCCAAGATGGTTTAAGATAGCGCACGATGCCTCAAGATGGCTCCCAGGATGCTGCAAGAGGCCCCAGGAACGTTCCAAAACGGCTCCAAGATGCCTCCAAGACCTCCAAGGAGGCCCGCAAAAAGCCAAACTCTTCAAACACCCAAGGAAAATCAATGATGTTTGCTTTCTCACCTTTTTTGCTTACGATGGCCATCCGAGGCCTCACGAAGGCTCCAAGATGGCCCCAGAGAGCCCCAAGAGAGGCCCAAGAGAGCCCCAAGACGGCCCCAAGGGAACCCAAGAGCGCCCGAAGAGCGCTCCAACAGGGGTCCAGGAAGCGATTTTCGGTGCTCCCGAGAGGGGAGGCTGATTGGAGCTCCCCTCTTGTTTGATCGATGTCCTCCAAGATGGCCCCAAGAGCGCTCCTGAAGCTCCCAAGCGCGCCCTAAGAGGGCCCAAAAAGGCGCCCAGACAGCCCCAGGAGGCCTCCAAGAGGCTCCCAAGAAACCCCATACAAGGCCTCAAGAGGATCCCCGAAGTACCCAACTCTCCCTCCTTATCCTCCTTCTCGTCCTTTTCGTCCTCCTCGTCCTCGCCCTACTCCATTTCCTCCTCCTTTTCCTCCTCCTCCTCCTCCTCCTCCTCTTCCTCCTCCTTCTTCTCCTCCTCCTCCTCCGACGACGACGACAACGATTCCTCCTCCAGCTGCCTCCGCCCGTTGTTCTTCTGCATGCTCCCCCACTTCCTTGATCACCTCAACTCCCCTGGGCATCGTTTCTGGATGGGCCGGTGGGGATGCGCGAAGCGTCAACCATTTTCTAAGGCTTCCCCGGAAACGCAAACGGCTTCTCAGAAGGCTGAAGGGCATCTGAGAATCCCCGCCGCCTTCTGAGAAAGCCTGCTCCCTCTATCCCTTCCCCCCCGGGCGCGCGGCCGAGTCTTGGCTGCTACTTCGTACTTCGGTCTGCTCTCACTCCTTTTCGCCTCCGCGGGGGCTGCTGCTTTGCTTGGCACGCACTCGTAGGCATGGGAACGCCCGCCGAGCCACGCTTGTCATGTCGGGGGAAACACGCAACATGCGATGCATGCCCGCACGTGTGCATGCAACGTGACGCTAAAGCAGGTCAGCCCCGCGCGCATACATCCCCAAGCGCGGCGGCGGACCGGAACCGGCGGAGCGGCGGCGGTGCGCGGCAACGCCGCCGGGTAACCAGCTGCTGGTCTAGGCTGCCTCCTCGGAACAAACCGGGCTCGGGATCCCCGGCTTCCGTAGGGCGAGAACAATCTGTTGACACAATTTGTGTTTGATGCGTTACGGGGATTCCGGGATTTCTAACAGCCTTCGCGCGGGGTACACTTTGCGTCGAATGATGTCTGTTCTGCCTGCCGCCGGTGGTCGGTCACCAATCGCAATCGAGTGGTCGCCCGTGGGGCTATTTGGCACTTGCTGATCCCCCTTCTCGTTGCCGAGCGCGGGGGGGGACGGTGGCGCACCGCCCCGTCGCCCGCCGCCGCGCACTGCGCGCCTCGGCGGATTTCCAAAGACCCGGTAAGGCAAATCACGCGCGACTCTGGAAAATTCTTCGATGGTAGATTTGAAAAAGCCAGGGAAGTTTTCGAAAAAATCCCAGCCTACTTTTGGAATCCTGAAATCGGTTTTGAAAGAATCCAGAACCGACTTTGTGTATCTACATATATATATATAAACGCAATCAATTTGAAAATGTCCCGATTTCAGGATTCTTCAGATGTCCTGTGCGGCGCGCGCGTTCCACCCTTCAAAACTGCTTCCTGAAAAAATCCTGATTCTTTCTTGGAAAATTCCCGAATCGCTTTTGTAAAAAAACGGCCGCGTTTTTTTGAAACATTCTACCATCCGGACATACTTTCCAGACGGTCTGGCGGGCCGCGGGTGAGATTGGGCGCAGCGCGCGCCGCGCCTTGCTCCCGCGAACGACACTCGAAGGGGTTACCTCGAAAATCGCGCCATGGCAGCTGCTACGCGCGGACTCCCTAAGAACAACACAGAATGCAGCTTGAAACCTCCGATGGCGCTCCGATGCGCGAAAATGCACCGCACACATCACGCAAAGAACCTGCGCGACGGAATGCGCTCGACCATTCGTCCCTGGAGCCCGCGCGGAAGGACGGGAAAATCTGGAACTCTTGAAAACTATCAATATCAATACTTCATGCTCCTCTGATTCCGCGCTCTCCTGGCTAGACGCCTCCTCTTGGCAGCACACGCGCGGCGGTGCCAGGAAACTCCGGGCGCGAGCGCGGCCAGAGAGACACTCTGTTGTCGCGGCGCTGGCGGACGCGCGACGCGGGAGAGCCGAGGATGGGGTTGCCAAACAGCGAGGCGGGGAGGGAACCGCCAGAGAAACACTCAGAGGGATCCCCCGCTCCGCGAGACGGCCTCGCTGTGCACAGTGTCTATCAGGTCGCGGCCCTCCGCGGAGTTGTAGAAGCGCTCCAACCTCGCGAGCTTTCTCTCCGTCTCCTGGGCGGCGGCGGCGGCGGGGGCCAGGCAGAAGGGGAGAGGAGTGGCAGGGCAGCTTGGGGAAAAGGGCAGGAGGGGGAGAGGGATGAAGTGCATCTCTCTCTCGCTCTCTCTCTCTCCCGCTCTTTCTCCCTCTCTCGAACTTCACACTCGCCCCCGACATCCCCACCAAAAGCCACTCCACCACGTGCTCTGAATCTGCGCATTCGCGCTGAAGCCACGGCAGCAACCGCTGGCTCTTCCTGCTGGCCGACGGGCGAGGGTGCCCCCCTCCCAGACCCCCAACGTCATGTTTGTATCTACCCGTTGTCCTCGTCCTGAAGAATGTTTGGATAGTCCCGGGGCCCAGAGAGGGCCGCCAGAGGCCGAAAATTGCAAAAAGCCATCCGCCGTGATTTTTTCATGACGCGAAGGGGTCTGGGCTCAGCGAGGCCTGGGGCGTCTGGCGCGGGGCTGGGCTGGGGATGCAGGCCGTGTGGAGGCGGCCGCAGGACGAGCGGCAACCGGGGCCGGCAGAGGCCTGGCCAGGTCGGCTCCTCCGTGGCTCTCAGCGACCTGAGCACCACCCACACCTCGGCGGAGCGGCGGCGCCAAGGGCAGAGACGGAATGAGACAGGACTGCCTCACTCTTCCCCTCTCCAGATACACCAGTGGTTCCCGATCACATGCGCTAGGCAGACATGGAATCACCCGAGGTCCACCCTGCAGCAGGCGAGCCAACACGCGGGACCCTAGCCATAAGCTAAAACGGACTTAGTCACCCACGGCGAAATAGCAAGGCTGCCCTGCGCATGTGGCCGAGACACGGATCCCAGATCCCGTGCCTAATGGCCGTGAGTCGCAAGGTAACCTTTAAGTGTCTTTAAAACCACCTCCAATGGAGGGTCACTAATTAGTTGTTCGGCAGCCTTATTCACGGTCTGGGGCCACAACAATAGGGGGTAACTAATTATTTGTTCCGCGGCACTCGCCGCGCGACAACGACGACGACGGCAACGACGACGACAGCAACAAGGAGGGGCAGAGGGGGGAGGACGAGGACGAGGAGTGGAGAGTTTTGGGACCAGTCCCGTTCACCGCTGGGTGAAAAGGCGGGGGAGGGGAATCAACACAGCAGACCCTGGGAGGTTTAACTCGCACGTCCCAGAGGACACAAAAGGGGAAGGAGACGAGGAAGAGGCGAGGGAGGGGAAGGGGGAAAGGTCGGAGACGGGGCGGCCTGTGGCAGGGGGCGGTCGGCACGGCCGGCTCTGGCAAGACGCCTGGACGAGATCCGCCGGGCAGGGCGGGGGGCGCCGGGGAGCGAGGGAGGACGAGGAGGCGTTGCATTCCGAGTGGTCTCGGGTCCAGGCCTCGACCCCGGCGCTGCAGCTGACGCTGCTGGGCTGCAGCTTCGGCTCACAGCTCTCGCCCGACTACGACAAGGCCTGCTGCAACTGCACCACCTTGACTAGCACGCGCTGCTCCCAGTGTTCAATCTGGCCACACAAACCCGTTCGCATGCAGGGCTGCAGAGCGCAGCGCATTTTGCACAGCTTAACAGTTGGCAGGACAAGCCCGCCTGCGACACGGACGGCTGACACAGCACGGCTTCGCGAAAGCACCCTTCTGGGAGGTCAAACGTGTGTCTTCTGTGGCGATGCAAGGTAGAAGCAGCACGGCACAACCAAACAGCTGCAACAGTAGGACACGCTTGTTTTCGACGCGGCATGCGGGCACAGCACAGCACGTCGCCGCGCAGCATGACCAGACGGTCACAACACAGCATGTGCTCACGTTGTGGTCACAACACAAAACGACCCAAGCACTAGTATGTGAGGACAGGCTTTCTTCTAATACCACAAAATCAGCGCGGCCATATGGCTTGCCGCCTCTGGCTGCCCCTTGTCGCCACGTCCCTTCGCTGGGTTCTGCTCGCTCCCGCTCTCCGTTGCTTGCTGCCGCTTATGAAAGCTTGCTGGCGCTTGATCGTGCATTATGCTGATCGTTGCGGCCTGTTGGTGCTGATCACTGCCGCTTACTGCTCGTTGCCGAAGCTTGCGTGATGCTTGTTGCTGTAGCGCATTGCTGCTGCTGCGTGATCTTGTTTGCTGATCGCTGCTGTATAATGCTATATGATGCTGCTGTACGATGCTCGCTGCCCCACTGTTACTGCTGCTCACTGCTGACCCCAATGCGGCACGCTGATGTTGCTTGCTGCTGGCTGCTGCTAAGTTCTGCCCCTGATCTACTTGACCATGGCTGCTGCTGCCGCTGCCTCTGCTAAAACTGGGCCTGAGGGCTGGATGGGGCCTGCGGTGACGGGCACCGACACAGAATTGAGCTGATGACTTCCCACACTTCAGGCATATGCAACACGACTTTCGGAGACATTGGATATAGGGACACGTCTGTTGACGAACTCCGAGCTTCCTGAGGTGGCCCGTGGCTTGTGGGCACCCAAGGCAACACAGAGTAAAAAACTTCAGCGGGCACCTTATGACAGGCTGAATCTCTTCGATCCGCCCAACTCATTCCATGACCTAATGTACAAGTTTGCTGGGCAATACAGTTGCAAACTTCTGGCATCGTATCCCTAACTCGCTGGTCAACTACAACGCCTGCACGACATGCTCGCTTTGTATCGCGCGCGCGACGATTCCAGGTCGGTAGCTGGAAGGGAGACTCCAGGGTAGAATCCACAGCAAGCAGATGGCGCAACCAGTCTCAAGGCCGTCTTGTCTTCAGCTCGTCTTGACCCGTGCTGTGCTCTGCTGACTGTTACTCCTGGTTGCTGATGCTTGCTGTGGTTTGCTGCTGCTTACTGCTGCCGCGCACTGCATCGGCTTGCTGCGGTTGGTTGCTTCTCATGCTGCTTGCTGCTAGTTGTTTTTGTCAGATTTTCCTTTGCGCTGCTGCTGCTGGCCATGCAGCTGCTTACTGCTGATGGTGCTGGAAGGTCTCGGGGCACTGTTGGAATCTCTCCCGGCTTCTTGGGTCGGATTGGGGGGCCCAACAGTAGGGCCTGCCAAACCCTCTGGAGCAGCTCTGAGGGCCCTTCTGGGCTGTCTGGCTGTCGCCTTGAAACCCTCGTGAGGCGTGTGGGGGGCATCTGGAGCCGTCCCGAGCGACTGCAGGTCCTGAAAGACCCTGTCTGGCCGCACTGGCACTCTCAGGTGGCCGTCTTGGGCTCCTCCTGGGAGCCTTCGGGCAGCGCTCCGGGGACCCTTTGGGGGCCTTCTTGGACAGCTGACTCGGCACTCGAAGGCCCTGCGGAGCTCTGAAAAAGGCATGGTTTTGGTTGCCCTGTCTGGGCACTCTCGTCGCGCCTCAGGGCCTCTGGGGCGCGCGCTGTGGGCCCCGCGGGTCCTTGGGCCGTCGTAGGGGCTCGGCCTATCGTCTCGCAGGGCTCCTGGGGCCCCCCCTCCGAGATGGCCAGCGTGGGCTCCGCGGGGGTCTCCGAGAGAAGGCCCCCTGGCCTGCTGCCCTCCTTGAGGACAGGGGGCCTTGCCCGCACGCGCAGGCTCCAGGATTGCAGAGAGGAGCACGTCGGTTCCAACTTTTCCTCCCAAATTCCTCTGGGAGGAGGAGGAGGAAGAGGAGGAGGCGGCGACGGAACCTGCCGCCAATGCCTGCGTTTCTCCTGATCCCAGCGCTGCGGCTGATTACGCTCGACTCTGACATCCAATCCAACATCTTGTTGAAGAACAGCAGTGTCTGCGCGACGTGATCGATTTCATCGCGAGGGCCGGCTCCAGCTTTGTAGCCAGTTGAATTCGGCTCCAGCTTCACCTCCTGCACCTCACTAAGCAAACAACAGAAGCCTGTTTTTGCCGCACGCGCTGACCAACATGTGTCCCAATGTTGCTGCCCATGACGTTGGGATCTACCTCCCACGTCCCGAATCTCGCCGAGCAGCATCGGGGCCTGCTTCCTCTCCTCACACGTATCGCACGCGATGGTCCCAGCCTTGCGACTGGCTGGGAAGAGCCTGCAGACGCCATCCGATTTGATCTCGAGTCCACGTGCTACAACTCGCTGAGGGCTATCCTATCTGAACGCACTCCTGTAGTGCCCAACTGTCAGAGCCACTAGATCGCCCCAACCAAGCAATGCCTCCTGCTTCACCTCACTGACCCATACACCGCAAGTGAAGGATTGGAACTGCCAATTCGCCTCTCCGACCCGTAGTGCGAGACCGTGTGCACCGCTAGTGTCAGCTGTTCTCATACCCTCTAGCTCTAACAACAAGCCTTCTGAGGTCGGGATCCGCTTTCGCCTCGCACAGGGCGGCGTAAAACGACAGTGCGCGCCCCCACTGCCAGGCGTCTTCGCCCATGCTCGTGCTCTAGCTGACCGCTTTGGACCAAAACCTCGATGACACTTCACTGAGCAATCGTGCGGCCCCCCGCCAATGCCCGCCTGCCTCACACGAGTTGGCTCCAGAAGCGTACATGATGACATCCGTGTCCAATCCAATCCCCTCCGCCTCGCTCAGCAGCGACAGTGCGTGCCCCCACTGCCCGCTTTTCTCACACGCTCTGATCCCAGCATTGTAGCTGACCGCGAACGGACACGTGCACACGTGGGACGAGGGACCCTCTCGCCACCTGGCCGAGTGGTCAAACAACCCCTGCACCCCCTGGGTGTTGTTAGATGTGAGAAAACTGTAGCCGAGCATGAGCTGTGGAGAACCCAAGAAGTTGCGCGACACTTCCCGGTATGCCGACGGCCGTGGGGAAGCCCGTCCCCAGGGACCTGCTGTGAGCGGAGGCCGCCCGAGCGCGAGCGGGGCCAGAGCAGACCAGGCCGGAGGACACCGCATCGCCACTGCATCCAAGGTGCATCGGCGACGTCGGGATGAGGAACATCGGCTTCCAGACGGCACCGAATCGCGAACAAATACATCGGCGTCGTGGCGCGAGCCTTCGAACCCAAATCTGTTCCTGCCCTGCCTGGGCGACCTGCAGCGAGAGGGGAGGCGACGGGAGGGGGCGGCCGAGGACGGGTTCGGGGGAGACCTCGTATCGCGCGGGAGCTGAATGGGGCTGCTTCCCAGGAGCGTCCGACCTTGCCCCGGGTGCCCCAGCCGACAGCGCCCTGGAGCCTCTGGCATGCCCAGGGAGACTAAGAGGGTCGGCCGTTTCGACGTCTGGCCCTCGCACAGACGAGGCCACATGCGCTCCAGAGAGACTGATCATGGCGTTGGGCTCCAACTTCGCCACCCGCATCTCGCTGATCAGCGACAGGGCCCGCTGCCACTGCTCGCCCTTCTCGCATGCGCTGATCCCAGCGTTGTAACTGACTTTGGGGAGGACGAGGAGGAGGAGGAGGAGGAGGAGGAGGGAGGAGGAGGAGGAGGAGGAGGAAGGAGGAGGAGGAGGAGGAGGGAGGAGGAGGAGGACTTGGGTGACAAATGGATGACGCCACCGATTTGGGACATCTCGAATCTTTGGCCCACCTCGGGCCGAAAAGTCGAGGAGAACGCAAGCATTGAACATGCCGTGCTGTCGACGTCCACAGCGTCCCAGAAGGCCTCCTGCGAGCCTCTTGGAGGGACTCCTGCGAGCCTGCTGCGGGAGCCGCTGGAGGCATGTGGAGGTCCTCGGGATCTTGGGGCCATCTTGGTGGGTATTCGGGCCTTCGAGGAGCCGTCCTGGAGCAGGTATGGCCACGAGCGCTGCAAGGCACTCTGATGAAGACTACCTTGGCGCCACCCTGACCCCGTCCTGGGCACTGACGGGTCTTCTTGGGCCGAGTCTGGGGACCATCTCGTGCGTCTTGCATCCTCTTAGGCTCGTTGGGCCCGTCTCGGGACAGATAGGCGAGCATGGCAACAACACAGTCTGTGTCCAACGCATTGTGCTTTTGAGCGGCCTTTCAAGAGTCTCTTCGTGGCCTCTTTGGGAGGCTCTTGGAGGACTGTTGGAGACAGAGGTCGTCGCGGGGTCTGGGGCGGCTATTGCGGCCACAAGCCAGAATGCAAGGGCCAACCTGGAGCCGTACCCGAATACATTGGGGCCGGCTTGGGCTGGTCTTGGGCCAGTCTTGTCCTGTCTTGGGGGGCGCAGTCCAGGACTACTGTCCTCGTGTTTCACACGCGCTATACTCGGCGCTGCGGAGCTGACGACGTTGGGCTCAAGTTTCCACGCCCACATCACGCTGAGTAGGAACAAAGCCTGCTGCCACTGCCCACCTTCCCTGCACGCACTGATCCCAGCGTTGCAACTGATCACGTCGTGCTCCACTCTTGCCTCGCGCATGTCGCCGAGCAGCAAGAGAGCCGGCCGCCACTGCCCACCCTTCTCGCACGCGCTGATCCCACCACTGTAGCCGACGACGTCCAGCTCCAACCCCGCGTCGCGCATCTCACTGAGGAGAGACAGGGCCTGCTGCCATCTCCTGCCTTTCTCGCATGCGCTGATCCCAGCGTTGTAACTGACTTGGGGGAGGAGGACGAGGAGGAGGAGGAGGAGGAGGAGAAGGAGGGAGGAGGAGGACCACAGAGTTGAAGCTGACGCGGGCGACTATGGCGCGGGGCCTCCTGGGTCCTCGGCCCGCCGGCGCTCTCGCTGCCACTTGACCCTGCGTGCTGTACAGCTGGCTGCGGCCCCCACTGCTGGTGTTTCCTGCCAGCTTCTGCGGCCGCTACCGCCTGCGGATGCAGCTTGCTGGCACCGCCTGCTGCTGCTTGCTGCTGCTGCTCGCTGCTGCTGCTCGCCGCTGCTGCTGCTGACTGCTGCTGCTGTTTGACATCTCTTCTCGAGGCCGTTCCTCTATGGCTATCGCTGTTTGCTTATGTTTGCTGCTCATCCGGGCTGCTGCTGCCTGGGCCCCACGGCAGCGCCACGCGGGCGTCTCGACCCATCGGCGGCGCGGTCCAAAGCGGAGCCGCCCAGGCGGCGCCCGCCCAGGCGGAGGCGCGGGGGTAGAGGGATTTTTCAATGCTGCACGCTCGGGTCCTGGCAATGCAGAATCGAAGATTGGCAGAACCCCCCTTCGCGAAACGCAAGTTGGCAACATCTGCGAGAGGCACTCCAGGGGTGCGCGCGGCACCGCACTACGAGTGCACCTGGACGGAATAAAAAAACTACCGAATGCATCCGGCGAAACACACGTCGATTAGGGAAACCACGGGGGGAATGTATCAGTATACTGCGAATACCAGTGCCGAGTAAACCAGTGCAAAGGTTGTCAATCGACTTGTCCGGGTGGAAGCTCGATCAATACGCGATAGAATTCAGATAGCGTTGAGCTCCACCTTTGCCCTCCGCATCTCGCCGAAGAGAACCAAGGCCCACTGCCACTGCCCACACTTCTCACACGCGCTGATTCCACCGCTGTAGCTGATAACGCTGGGCTCTACCTGCGTGTCCGACATATCGCTGAGCAGCGCCAGAGCCCCCTGCCACTGCTGGCCTTTCTCGCACGCGCTGATCCCAGAGTTGTAGCTGACTAGGGCTGACCCGCGGCCTTCCGGCCGCGGAATCTGCCCACCATGGCATGGACGTGGAAGTGGAGCGTCTCTGGGGCCTCGCGGGTAAGGAGTGGTTGGAGGGAACGGCGTAGATGGATGAGGTGGCCGCTGGAGGTGGAGGTGGGCGAGGGATACAAGCAAGCAGGCCTGGAGGCAGGAACGCGGTGGCGCAGACGGTGTCAGTGGAAGCACACCCATGTAGGCATGACATGGTGTGGACAGATGCTGTTTCTCACGCCGCAGTCTGTGTTCATCATATCTTCTGCGGGGAGGGTAGCCGTTGAAGTGTATCTGCTCTTCGCCGGGGCCTGATGATCATTTTATCTGGTAGTGTGGTGACACTGGGGCCAGTGGGCGCGGCCTAAGAAGCCTGCAAGAGGGCGGCGAGACGGCCCAAAAGGTCTCCAGGACGGGCCAAGTGGCTTCCCAGACGGCCCCAGAGGGGCCCACGAACTCCCTAAGACGGGCCCCAGTGCGAGGACACGAATCGATCTTTCGAGCGCACCGCCCCGAGACGTCCCCAAATGGCGCAGAGATGGCTCCCAGGGGGTTGGGGGCGTATGGGGGCGTCTTGGGGCGATATTGGGGGCCTGTGCAGCCGTCTTGGAAACTGTGCAAACGGACAGAAGGAACACATGACACATGTATGTTTCCTGCAGGGATTGGGGCGATGTTGCCCCTCTTGTCTCTCCTTGGGGTCCTCCTGGGCCGTCACGGGAGCCTCCTGGCCTGCCTTGTAAGCCTCTGGGGCCATCCTGGGGCTCGCATGCGGTCCTCTTGGGGCGTCCGGGCGCCCTCTTGAGCGCTTCTGAGCCGTATTTGGGCCGTGATTGGGAGCTCTTGGGGCTGTCGTGGGTGCCTCTTGGGCAGTCTCGGGCGCCTCTGGACCCGTCTCGGGGCCGTTGGTGGACCCTCCTGGGTGCGTCGAGGCGCGATCTTGGGGGCCTGTACAGCCGTCTTGGAGCTGCGCAGACGAAAAGAACGGGCATGGGACAAATATTCGCTTCCCGAAGGGAATGGGACGATTTTCGCCTCTTGGGGTTCTCCTGGGGGTCCTCCTGGGCTGTCTCGGGAGCCTCCTGGCCTGCCTTGCAAGCCCCTGGGGCCATCCTGGGGCTCGCTTGGGGTCCTCTCGGGGCGTCGTGGCGCCCCCTTGAGCGTCTTTGAACCGTCTTGGGGCGTCTTGGGACCCCTCTGGAGCCGTCTCGGAGCGCCTGGGGGACTCGCAGGACGCCACAGAGGGCCCGGGGAGCCTTCCGAGGCAAAAGCCTTCTCGCACGCAAAGGTCGCTGCATTGTAGAAGAGACTTGGGCTGACCCGTGGACTACGTCCGTTTGCGGGGTGAAGGGGTGCTGCCGCAAGGCGATCAGTCAGGATGAATGGCGTCATGTTCGCCTGCCACACATCGCTGAGCGAGGAGACGGAGGAGCGTCTGGACGCCCCATTTGGGGTGCTCAAGGGTTCCCTTGGGATCGGGTCGGGCTTTGTCGGTGCGTTTGGTCCGACCTTCTCGGGGCGTTCTGGGGGCCCTCTGAGGGCCCCCAAAATCACCAACACGCCTTCAAGATAGCCCCATAATGGCCGCCCGCCCAGAGTCGGCGGGACCGATTCTGGGCCACCGCGCCGCCGACCCAGAATCCCGCCCGACGCGCCCTGGGCGGCCGCGCGCAGGGCTCCAGACCGACACAAAGGCCGAGTGATTTTTTGGCCAAATCCGGCAGGGAGCGCCAAACAAGCATCAGAGGCCCATGGTGCGCTGGGAACCGTTTTGGGGCTGTCCAGTGCCGTTTTGACGCCGTGATGGGAGGCACCTCAGGGGTCTTTGTGCGATCTTGGATGCCTGTATGGCAGTGTCGGACGCTTTGAAGACGACGAGCAAGGGAAGAGCGCAATTTGCCGCTCTCCTGAGGGATTGGGGCATATGTCTCCGCGTTCGAAATCTATTGGAGCGCTGCGTCGAGCCCAGATGGAGCATCTGGGAGCTGCCTCGGGTCTGTGGAAGCTGTCGTCGGCGTCTTCGAGCGCTGAGGCCGTCTGGGATCGTCTGGGAAGTATCACGGGAGGCTCCTGAGGCGGGTAGGAGGTATCCTGGGAGTCGGGTGGCCGTTTTGGGCCGTCTAGGAAGCCTCAGGGCCTTCAGGGAAAGCCGCCAACTTGGGGCCGTCTAGGAAGCCTCATGGCCTTCGGCGAAATCCGCCACCGTGCCTGTGCCTGGGTAATGGTTCAGAGGCCTCTGGGGTCCCTCTTGGAGGCAGCTTTGGGGCCTCTTGGGGGCCGTCTTGGGGCCTCGTGGGGCTTGCTTTGGGCTTCTTGGGGCCTCTGGGGACCTCTTGGCATTCCCTTGGGGGGGTCTTGGGGCCTTGTGTGGGCGTATGGGGGCCCAGGGCTCGGAGTGTCAAGGTTTTCCCCGTTCTTTGGCCCCCTCTTGGGCCTGGCTTGGGGTCCTCTGGGGCCGTCTTGGGCGCCTCTTGGGCCATCTTGGGACTCCCTGGGCCGTCTGGGGACGCGCTTGGAGGCCTGTTGGGCCGTCCTGAGGCGGTCTTGTGGGTCTCTTCGGCAGTCTTGGAGCGTCGGCTAGCCGAGAAGGCGAGAAGGCAAAACTCCTTCAAAAACCATTGACAAATTAAGGATTTGGGCCTCTGGGGGTATGCTTCGGAGGATTGCTGGGGGCTCTTGGAGGCCTCTTGGACCTTGTTGGGGGCCTCTAGGGGGTCTCTTGGACGCTCCTTGGAGCCTCTTATGGCCACTTCGGCGCGTCTTTGGGCGGAGAGCTGATTTGCGACGCTCGGGGGCCAGGATCTTCGTGAGAAAGTCGAAAAATGGCCCTCCAGGGGGCGCATTGGTCCACATGCGCTGTTTTGCCCTTCTGGCACGCGCTGATGTCCGCCATAGAGAAGAGAAGACTGGGGCTGACCCGTGGACTACCGTCCACGACTGCCAGTGGCCCTTTCTGCTGTTCATTGCTTCAGGGTGCGCTGTTTGCTTTCTGATTATGAGAGCAGCGCCAGCAGCATCAGCGGTAGCAGATCCGGGGGGCTGGGCACTCGCAACAGCAGCAGCTCCTCCACCACCTCCTCGTCCTCCTCCTTCTCGTTCTCCTCCTCGTCCTCCTCCTCCTCCTCCTCCGCCTCCTCCTCCTCCTCCTCATCCTTCCCCTTCTCTTCCTCTTGATTGGCTCGTCCTCGTCCTCCGTCTCCTCCTCCTGCTCCTCCTCATCCGCCTCCTGCTCGTCGTCGTGCTTTCGGGGATCTTCTGACCCGGGTCAATCCAGACCCAGGTCAGCAGGAAACCAAAAACTGCAATGCAAGACAAACAAACTGCAACGCAGATCGTCGCAAACCCGGGTCAGCCAATATGCGCGGCCGCCTCGTGGCCACGAGAGGCTCGCTAACCCGGGTCAGCCAGAGGGGGTCTTCGCAGGATCCTGCAGGATCTGGCGCCCTGGCTGGCCCCCGTTTGCATTGACCCCCGTCTCAAGGCTCCCGATGCTTGACCCGTCCTAGTCCTCCGGCTCGTGCTGCTCCTCCTCCTCGTCCTCCTCCTCCTCGTCCTCCTCCTCCTCCTCCTCTTCCTCTTCCTTCTCCTCCTCCTCCTCTTCCTCTTCCTCTTCCTCCTCCTCCTCCTCTTCCTCCTCCTCCTCCTCCTCCTCTTCCTCCTTCGCCTCTTCCCCTCCAGGACATCGTGCGGCTCCGACTCCGCGGGCAGGAGCGCCTGTGGCGGAGGAGACGACGACGGGGAGGAGAAGGAGGAGGCCCAAGATGATTGGAAATAACCACACCCCACACATCTTGGGACACACTCGGCGCGGGACGGGTCGCAGAAACAGCGTTCCCGGGTGTCCGCGGCTGCATCGGACAACTATTTTTCTGCACCCCATCCAGTGCGAGAGGTGTCCCACGGTGTGGGGTGCGGCTTTTTCCGACCATCTGGTGCCTCTAGGAGCCTATCGGGCCCCTGTGGAGAGAGCTGCTGGAGGCCTCCGGGAACCCGGGGGGATAGTTTTTTAATGACATGGGGCCTTCTTGGAGCATGTGGGAGCCGTTTCGAGGAAGCTGCTGGGAGCTTTCCAGGAACCGCTGGGAGCCTCGAGGGTGCCTCGGGGAGTCGTCTGGGAGCCTCGGGGGTGCTTTTTGGGGGCTTGCTGGCCGTGGGGAGGGCAGGAAGGGCGGGAAGGGCGCTCCAGAGTTGGCCCTGTCGGGCCTCTCTTGGGGCCGTCTTGGGGGGGATGTGTGGCCCTCTTGGGAGTTCCCGCGGCCGACTTGAGGGCCTCCGGGGCAGTCGTAGAGGGAGCTCCCCGGGCGCCCTCCAGAGGAATTGGGAGGCTGCTTGGGGCGGGTTGGGATTCGTGGCCGGAGACGCAGTCGCAAGAGGGAAACACCTTCGATGACATCGATCGTTTTGCGTCCTCGAGGCCCTCTCGGGCGAAGGGCTGCTAAATCCGTGGCTGCTAAAATCGACCTCCAGGAAGTTGTCTTCGTCCTTCCGGGAAGAAGCCCGTTGACTGTTTCGCGTGCCGCGCCTCATTCCGGGAAGTTGTTTTTCCTTCCGGGAGGGCCGTTTTAGCAGCCACGGTTTTAGCAGCCCTCGCCCAGCTTCCGAATCTGGGGACCTGGTGGAGCCTGGTGGGGGGCCCTCTCGGGCCGCCTGGGAGGCCTCTTGCGCTGCACGAGTGCGTTCTGGGGGCCTTCGGGGGCACTCGCAGGGCCTCCCCTGAGCCGGGACGGCGTCGCTCCACGAGCGCGGCCGCGGAGGCGCCGCCGCCGCGGGCCCGGCGGGCGAGGCTCGATGTGTCCTGCTGATAAGGAATCGAACTCTATACACCGGACGCTTTTCCTGACCCTGCGCCGAAATTCGCACAGGAACGCGGATTCTGGTGTATACGGGATCCTGGTGTAGACATTTTGCGTCGTTTCCCCGGGACATCGGGGAAAAAAGTATACACCACACCACCCCAGCGTCGTCCCCGACCCTCAAAAAGTCCTGGGATTCAAGAAACAGCCCGCCACTGGTAATGTATACGTTCCAGTTTGCGTGACACGCGCTGAGCACGGTATTGCAGCACAGCGAAAAAGTATAATCACACCAGAAATAAAAACAATCAGTGGATGGCTTTCGCTGCGAAGATCGACCGGGAACCCGGGAGCCCAGGAACCCAGAACCCACCGGAATCGGACCGGAACCAATAACCGGAAACCCGGGAACCCAGAACTGGGAACCCGGGAACCCAACCTTCTAACGAAATCGGCGGGAAACTTTCGCCAAGTCTTTCAACTTCCGCTAGGACCCCTTCAGAGCAAGCACCGATTGGGGAATTAGCACAGTGAAGACGTACAATAAATGGTAATAAGGGCGCAAGATCCTTGGAGGCCGAAGTTGTATTTTTTAGGACGGCAAGCGACTAAAACCCCAACCACGCAAAGGCACCCTGACCCACCCCCGTCCTTGCCGAATTGGCGTCGGGGCCCGGAGCAAAAACAACGTCAGGACGCAAGGGTAACCTCAAAATCCGCGCGTCCCTCTGGGCATGGCGCCAAAATCAACAGGCACCTGCTGGGGTGGGCAGCGCGGCGCACGCTGCGGGCGCAAACGCGCAATGGGCCCCTGCCTGCTCCGCGCCCTTGGGGCCACGTCTGCCCGCGAACGAAGCGACGGCCCAAGGCGGGGGCGGTGCGCCCAAGAAGGGCCAGCAAAAACCGTGCCTGGCCCGCGTCTTGAAGGCAACGTCCGCCCGCGAAGGAGAAAGCGACCGAAGGAAGCGACGGGGTGCCCAAGGACGGCCAAGGGAACCCTTCTTGGCCAACGTGCTCCATATGTTTCCCCTGTGTAACGCGCAGCGCAAAGTGACCCACCAACAGATGGTTCACCCGAGGACTGGTTAAGTAAAACCAACTGTTTCACTTGCAGTCTGCGCCGCACCATGAGTTGATGCAGTCGTGTTACATACGCTTCCCCTGTGTAGCGCGAAGCGAACAGGCGACCCAACAGCAGGTGGATCACCCGAACACCAGTTGAGAACAACAAATGTTTCAGTTGCATTCTGGGCCTCAACATGAGTTGGTGCATTTCAATCCGCGCGCTTCCCATTGCGGATCGCGCGACGCACAGGTGACTCACCAGAGGGTGGGTCACCCGAACACCGGTTGATAAAACCCACCTCAACATGAGTTGTTAAAATCGCGCTGCATGTGCTTCCCCTGCATGGCACGCAAAGCACAGGTGACTCATCAGCGGGTGGGTCACCCGAAAACTGGCTGACACAAACGAATTGTTTCACTTGCGTTCTGGGCCTCACCATGAATTGGTGCAATCGTGTTCCATCGTGTTACATCCGTTTCCCTTGAGGAGGGCGCAACGCACGGGTGACGTACCAGCGGATGGGTATACCCAAAAACTGGTGGAGAAAAACAAGCTGTTTGCCTTGCTCTGGGCATCAACACGAGTTCGTGCAGTCGTGCTCCATACGCTTCCCCTGTGGAGCGCGCAACGCTCAGGTGATCCACCAGCGACTGGGTCACCCGAACACTGGTGCAGAAAAACCAATTGTGTCACTTGCTTGCTGGGCCTCGACATGAATTGGTGCAATCGTGCTCCATACGCTTTCCCCGTGGGGGGCGCGACGCACAGGTGACCCACCAGCGACTAGGTGACCCCGAACACTGCCGAGAAAAGCAAATGGTGTCACTTGCTTGTTGGGCCTCGGCATGAATTTGCGCAATCGTGCTCCATGCGCTTCCCCTTGTGGAGCGCGCGACGCTCAGGTGACCCACCGATGGGTGCGTCACCCGGCTACTGGTGCAGAAATACCAATGGTGTCACTAGCTCGTCGGGCCTCGACATGAATTGGTGCAATCGTGCTCCATACGCTTTGCCCGTGGGGCGCGCGACGCACAGGTCACCCACCGGCGACTGGGTCACCCGAACACTGGTGCAGAAAAAACAATTGTGTCACTAGCTTGTTGGGCCTCGACATGAATTTGCGCAATCGTGCTCCAGGCGCGTCCCCTTGTGGAGCGGGCAACGCACAAGTGACCCACCAGAGGGTGGGTCACCCGAACACTGGTGCAGAACAACAACTGTTTCGCTTGCCTGCTGGGCCTCAACATGAGCCGGTGCGATCGTGTTCCGTACGCTTCCCCTGTGGAGCGCGCGACGCACAGGTGATCCAACAGCGGGTTGGTCACCAGAACACCAGTTGAGAAAAACCCATGGTCTCAGTTGCATGCTGGGCCTCAACATGAACTGGTGCGTTCGTATTCCACGCGCCTCCCATTGCGGAGCGCGCGACGCACAAGTGACCCAACAGCGGGTGGGTCACCCGAAAACGGGCTGCGAGAAAAACATCGTCCCACTTGCATTCTGTGCCTCAACATGAGTTGGTGCACGTTTGCTCCATATGCTTCCACTGTGTAGCGCGCAGCGCGCAGGCGACCCACCAGCGGGTGGGTAACCCGAAAACTGGCTGATCAGAACCAAGTGTGGCACCTGCATTCTAGACCTCGACGTGAGTTGGTGCACTCGTGCTCCATTCGCTTCCCCAGTGTAGCGGTGGGCGAAGGACGAAAGCGACCGAGGGCAGCGGCGGCGCGCCCGAGGACGGCCAAGGGAGCCCTGCTTGGCCAACGTCCTCAGGGCCACGCCCGCCGCAAATTGAGCCACGGGCGAGGACGAGGGCGACGCGCCAAAAGGCGGCCACGGGTACACTTGTAGCCCGCTTCCTCAGAAACGCCCCCTGGAGGAGCGGCCTGCCGCGCAGCCGAGGGACGGCGCCCGCCCCAAGGGTACCCTGAGGGGCTGGCCAGTGGAAAAGGCAAAAGACAGGCCGCAGAGGCAAGGACACCAGGGTACCCTAGAAAAGGCACGCGTCCTTACTATGCGCGTTGACTGTACAGATGACGCTGTGCTCCAACTTTCTCGTCCGCATACCGCTGAACAGTGACAGGGCCTGCTGGCATTGCCCGCCTTTTGCGCACGCACTGATGCCAGCGTTGTAACTAATGACGTCGCCCTCGACCTTCGCCTCCCACATGTCCTTGAGCAGCCACACTGCTCGCTGCCACTGCTCGCCTTTCTCGCACGCGCTGATCCCACTGCTGTAGCTGATGACGTTAGGAACCAGATTCGCCTCCCTCATTTCGCTGAGCAGCGATAGAGCCCGCTGCCACTGCACACCTGTCTCGCACGCGCTGATCCCAGCATTGTAGCTGATTCGGGCTGACCGTGGACTACGTCCACGGCATCTGCACAAGCTGGCATTTGCTGGTGGACATTCTGCCGAACAGCCGACATGATAACGCTGGGCTCAGACTTTGCTTCCCGCGCATACTGCGTGCTGCTGTTTGCTCCAGCTGCTGCGTGCTATGTGGAATGCTTACTCACCGCTGCTGCGTGCTGCTGCTGCTGCTGCTGCTGCTGCTGCTGCTGCTTGTAGCTGCTTGTAGCTGCAGGGTTCTGCTGATGTTAGGTTGGACGTGCCGTCTTGTCAGATTTCTGTTAAATCGAAAGCCATCTGGGGCGCCTCGGGGGCTCCTGCTTGAGCGGCCGAAAGGATCGCAAGTTCCAGGAACGCCAGGGAGGATCGTATGGCGCTCCCCGGGAAGCCCAGGAGGGCTCCAAGAGGGCTTCAATTTGAAAAATAATTCAACAAGAAGCCCCGCTAGATTTGGGTGGTTGTTTTGTTGGATTCCCGTTGAGCCCCCTCCCTTGGAGGCAGTTTTGAAGCCGCTTGGGACCTCTTGGGGGCTGGTTGCAGGCCTCTTAGGTCGTATGTTGGGCCTCTTCGGGGCCTTTTGGGACCCTCTCGGGCCGCCTGGGCTCCTCTTGGGCCGTCTTGGGGCCGTCTTGGGCGCCTCCCGAGCCGCCGTGGAACCGTCTGGGGCAGTCTTTGGCCTCTTTTCGGGCCCTCTTGGAACCCTCTGAGCCCGTAATGGGCGCCTCTTCAGCCGTCTTGGGTCGTCTTGGGGCCCTCCGTGGGGCCTCTGGGGCCGTATGGGGGCGATCTTGAGGGCCTCGAGGGCCGTCTCGGACGCTGCGAAAACGGGGAATCAAAAATGCTGACATCATAAGTTCTCCCTCCGGTTTGGGGCGGTGTTTGCTTCTTGGGGTCCTCGTGGAGCCCCCTTCGAGTGGTTTGGGGGGGGCCTGCTGGACCGGCGTCGGCGTCTTGGAGCGGCCTGGGAAGCGCCGGGGACCGTCATGAGGCGCTCTTGAGGCCTGATTTGGGCGTCGTCGAGCGCCCCCCGGGACGTCTTGAAGCGGCCCAGGACCGCCGAGGCCCGCCGGGGCGCCGCAGGAGCCATTGGGACAGCGTCCTTCGCGCACGCGCGCGTGTGCCTGCAGTGCACTGGAGGCTAGAGCTCGCCCGTAGACCTACGTCCACGTTGCCTTACTCTCGTGCAGAGGTGAAGATCGCTTGCCTGCCTGCGTGATGCCATGGGGCATCGCCTGCCACGCAGCTGGTCCGACAGCTTCCTCCCGACGTTTCTGTCTGCATGATGGCCAGAGTGGCTCGTGCCATGTTTTCCTGTTTGCTTGCTTCATAGATTGTTCGTCCGCTCGCTGCCACGTATTGCCACTCTACGCTTCTCGGTCCTGATTGATGTTAGGGACTCTGTTTGGAGATGATGCTGCGACTTCCTGTTTGCTGGTGCGGGCTACTGCTTGCTGCGGTTTGTTTCTGCTGCTTGCTGCGCAACTCTGGTGTTGTCAATGCGGGCTGCCAAAGTTTGCTGCATCTTGCCGCAACTGTCTTCTGCTAAATACTGATGCTGTTTGCTGCTAGGTCCGCTTGCCTGCTCATCTAGGTGCGTGCTGTCCTGCTCGCGTGTCTGCCGTCGTACCAGCCCGACGTCGTCTTTGCTTGCTAGCTTGCCTGCCTGATTGTACGTCGGCACGCTCGCCTTGCTTCTTTCGTGCCGGCTTGATTGCTTGCTCTGTTGTTCGCTGCCTCTGAATGCCAATTGCTGCTTCTCAATGTTGAGTGCTGTGTACTGTGTCTGCTGCCGCCTGCTGTTGACTGGTGCCTGCTGCTTGCTGCGGCTCGGGGCTTTTGCTTGCTATTGCTGGTATTGGCTATTGATGTTTGCCTGTTGCTGCTGGCTGCTGCCGTGCTGCTGCGATTGAAGCTGGTGCCTAATGGTGCTATTAAGCGACGGCGTACGGCTGTTGTGCTGCTGCTCACCGACGCAGCTAGTTCGGCAAACTGCTGTCGCCTGCTGGTGCTGCTTGCCGATGTTGTATTCTGCTGGTTGCTGCTGATGCATAGTGTTGCTGGTTTGTGCTGTTGGTTGCTACTTCTAGCTGCTCATGGTTGCCGCTGCTGGCCTTGCTGCTGTTGCTGGATCTCTGGGCCGTCGTGATGGGGCCATACCAGGAGCGAAAATTGAGGCCGTCTTGGGGCCATGTTGGATACGTCCCCGGCCCTGGGAGGCATCTTGGAGCCTCTGTGGTCCTGTTGGGGCCCTCACGGGTCGCTCTGGAAGCGAACTCTGCCCAGCTCGGGCCCCATCGAACGCATGATTGGGCCGTCTTGGTGGCATCCTGACCCACTCTTTGAGCTCTTGGCGCTGGGCGTGGCCCTGTGGGAGCCGCCATCGGGCGCGACGGCACGGGGACCTCCAGGCATTTGTCGCTCGCAGGGAACGTAGAGGGGCTGACGCGCAGAATGCCGTCCACGCATGCTTACTTCCACACGACTCAACGCAACAATATGGCACGGCAGACACAATGCAAATTTCGCCCACGATGACATCTCAAAAGACACTGTTGGTCGCGACGCGGCACGGCAGGCACAATACAACCCGTCGCAGCGAGAGGCACGCCACGTTACGGCACGGAGGAACGGCACCCGAGAGGACAAGCCTCTTCGCTTCTTCTGGCGGGCGGGGACAGGCGCGACGCGCAGCCGCGGGCGCCCGGCGAAGCCCCAGGGTCAGTCCGGGGGGGCAAGCCTCTTCGCAAATGGCACGGCACAACCACCTGAGAGTACTAGGGGAACGGACACTGACATGAACATCAGAGTGAGGGGCCGAACGGTCATTCATTGTCCCTGGGTGCGTGGTTGAATCAGAAACTCGTGGTGAGAATTACGTTTGTTGCGTTGTTGTTGTTGTTGTTGTTGTTGAAATTCGTGTCGTTGATGTTTGTTGTTGTTGTTGTTGCTGCTGTTGTTGTTGGTGTTGCTGGTGCTGTTGTTGTTGTTGCTGCTGCTGCTGTTGTTGTTGTTGTTGTTGAATATTATTACTTCTAAAGAATAATTATTGTTGGGCCCCCTGGTGCACGCCCCCCCTGCGCCGCCTAGGCCGCAGCTACATTTTCATCATTTTCGTGAAGAAGCCTCAGGTAAAACGATGTGATCCAGATCCGGTTGTTTTGTTGTAATCCGTTTTCCCTTGCAAAAAACACTATAAAATGACATTTCTTGTTCTAATATAATCAAATTTCAAGAATCCCTTGCAAAAAATAAGGTAAAGTGGACATTCGCGCGCGCAAGACGAAATCCTTCCAAAAGCTTAGTGTTCGGAGCGATTTTAACATAAAAACATCAAAAAACCAATGGTTTTTCAACAAAAAAATGTCAAAATCTCATCCCGCGCGCTCTTGCGGATTCGTAGGAAAACCAACACTTTTTAAACATTTCTGTCAAACGGGGTTTTGCGAGCAACTTTTTCGAACTTCTGCGACAACGGTTGCGCACCTGCCAGGGCCATCATCCCTGTCAAATAATACCATGCGGGACCTCCAACCAGAGAGAGGTAGTCACGTGTATTTCGTCGACGAGTGAGCCCGTATTGCACATTGAGGCCGGAACGAGAAGCACAGAACAATAATGAGCATATATCGTCTCACAACAACGGAAACAAGTCCTGTGGTATGCTGGCGCCACGCACGTGATACCAGTCAAAATAAGGGTCTTGGCTTGTGTGGTACAGAAACGTTAAAACGTCGGAAAACGGTACACGTGCCCATTGTTGGAACAGGGGTATAAGTCGTATACTAAGCTAGTTTCCACAAGATGTTACCACAAGAAGTCATTGTAACCATGCGCCAGTGTAGTAGCCAAGGTCGTCCGCAGGCCACGAAGTGAAGTGTCCGAACGTCATAGGGCGGGAAGCTGGGTGTGGGTGGTGGCGAAGAGTCGTTTGGAAACTTGGTAGAGCTTGAACCGGCCCCCCCA